AACCTGCCTTTGACTGTGCTATAAAGCTGCAGTCATAAATATCACCCTTTTTTCCAAAGGCTCCTGTGAAACTTATAAAGGTGCAGGATTCATCTCAGTTTTACATATCTTACTGGCAATATATATATATCAGAGTTTTTTTCTTCGCCATTTTGCAGACGTAGCATATTTCAAAAAAGGTTTCTAAACTGTATTCAAGAAGAATCCACCATTAGTCCTGACTGAAGGAGACACTTTTAAATTAAGCATGCTTATGTTATTTGTGATTAACTAGTCCCAATCATTTTTGTTCTAGATGGAAATAGCATGGGATTTAGCCCAACTTGTTGCACTGGGGGAAGAGGCGGTATCTTGTTCACCAACAGAGAATATGAAGGAAAGAGGTTTAAGAGTCAATGGAAACAGTTCATGATTTTTATGGTGCCTTTGGTATTTTTTATTCTTTAAATAAGCTTTTTTCTAATGATAATTAGGGGTGTAGGTCACAGGTTTCACACATGTGTGTCTGAACAAGTGAACTTGTCCATAAAAACTCACATTAAAATATAGCAGTTAGTCTTTACAATGCCACATCTTTGTCTTTTTTATTTTTGTTTTGTTTTCTTCATGCCAATAAGATATAACATACACACACTATTCTGTTTCTCATTGACATGTATACATATATAGCTCATTCTAACTCTTGAATTATAGTAGTTTTGCAACTACGAATAAGCTTGTAAGTGTAATAGACTGCAGGAGACATGTCTGTCCATAACTCGTTTTTCAGAAAGGTGTTGGAATGTGCATTGTCATAGTCACATTAATAATAATGCTTTTCTTTGGACCCTGTTGGCCTAGTATTTAGGGCTGCATGCTTAGCATATGAAAGGGACTACAGTAAAAATATGCAGCATTCTTGTTGGTCAAGAACATTCTAAATATACTTGTAAAACTATGAAAAAATGGTCAAAATCCTGTTGCAGGCACAACTTGATATTGTACCCATGATAGTTAAGATAGCAATGAGGAAGAAGTGCTACCCACCAGCATATTGTGCAGTTGGTTGTGCTGGGGATGTTCAACCAATTACACAATTGCATAGCACAACTCTTTATTGCCAGGTATAACACTGGCTCAGTTCTGCAAGCATAATTTCATGTTGCAGTCGTATGAACTGTAACTCTTCATGACCCCATGGACCAGAGCATGCCAGGCCCTCCTGTCTTCTACTTCCTCCCGGAGTTTGGTCAAAGAAAGTATAACCTCTTTAAATTCTGTGGTTTTATGTATTAAGACATAATAAAAATCATCTGGTCTTTAGCAGGTCTGAAAATTAGGTAAATACAACCTCAGATGAACAACAAACAATACATGATATATTACACTGTGTCATGAGTTATTTTACAAAAATAAAGCCAAAATGGAGAAGCCATGTGTGAAAAACTAAGCTGACCTTTTGATTCAGTAGCTTGCAGAACCACCTTGAGCAGCCATAAACTGAAATAATTGTTTTCTGTATGATTTTACTAGTCTCTTACATTGTTGTGAAGGAATTTTGGCCCACTCTTCCTCACAACGTTGCTTCAGTTCATTGAGGTTTGCAGACATTTATGCATAGCTCTCTCTTAACGTTCTGCCAGAGCATTTCAATCAGTTGGGGTTTGGACTTTGACTGGGCCATTGCAGTATCTTGATTCTTTTCTTTTTCAGCCATTCTGTTGTAGATTTGCTGGTGTGCTCGGGATCATTGTCCTGTTGCATGACCCAATTTCAGCCAAGCTTTAGCGGTTGGACAAATGGCCTCACATTTGACTCTAGGATATTTTGGTGTAGAAAGGAATTCATGGTCAACCCCATGACTACAAGGTGCTCAGGTCCTGTGGCTGCAAAACAAGCTCAAATCATCACCCATATACCATCATGCTTGACACCTGCTATGCTATGTTTGGTTTTTCACCAAATGTGGCACTGTGCATTTATGGCCAAACATGTCCAACTCTGGTCTCGTCTGTCCAAAGGACATTGTTCCAGATGTCTTGTGGTTTGTACAGATGCAACTTCGCAAACCTAAGCCATACTGCCATGTTCTTCTTAGAGTGAAGAGGCTTTCTCCTGGTAACTTTTTCAAACAAATCATACTTGTTCAGTCTTTTTCTAATTGTACTGTCAAGAACTTTAATATTTAACATGCTAACTGGCCCCAGTAGCGTTTGAGATGTAACTCTTAGAGGTTTGTGTGTTTTTTTTGTAATTTCTCTGAGCTTTGCAGTCTGAGCAATTGCACGTGGGGTGAATTTGATTGGATGTCCACTCCTGGGAAGACTGTCTGGAATGTTTTCCACTTGTGAATAATCATCCTCACTATAGAATGATGAACTTTAAATTGTTTGGAAATGGCCTTATAACCCTTCCCAGATAGATGGGCAGCAGCATTTGCTTCTCTACAATAATTGCTGATATGTTTCCTCCTTGGCATTGTGTTAATACACACTTGAATTATCCACACCAGCAAACTGCTAAAACTTTGGCTTTTATACAGGTGGGCACACTGGGCTTTTACAGTGAGCCTTCTACAGCTGAGTCACCTTATCTTTATGGTGACTCTTCACTATTTTTTTAATGTCTGCTGTTGTGGATATTCTTTTAATAATTACTTTGTTGATAACTGCTTTTCAAAATAAAGACTTTTCAATGCAATTTGCAGAATTAATAAAATAATACTAATAAAACATTAAAGTTGAATTGCTTAACTGTTGGTTCTTATTCAAACTGTAAGTTGTCTTGGGAAAAATATTTTGAAACATTGGTTATAAATGGTTGCAATTATTATTATTATTTTGCCTGTTGAATAAATATTTTGACCACTTATTCTGATGCCTTTTATAACAGGATGGTAAAACCCCCAAACAGTGTGCCAAGGAAGGTCATTGCAAAGATTTCGTGATTGCATTTTATGAATGCAAAAGATCATTGGTGAGTTGGTTGTTTTTATTGGAAGTTATTTTCAGTTTTTAAATTGGCAATATTGTTTGTAAGATACCAACAAAACATTCAGTATGGCTAATATTAAAATGCATCACCTGTTATTATATTTTCTGTGCAAATAGCACTACTGTTCCACAAGGCAACAGAGACACGATTGTATAAAAGCTGGAGAAAGGCTGCTGCAGAACCTTAGGAAAAGAATATATGTACAGAGATTTGTTGAGGGAAATTTAGCCAAACTGTAAAATCACTTGAAGGAATGCAGATGGGTAATGAAAATTCTTGAACTTTCTCTGCATTTTCAGTCAACATTGAACTGTGAACCTTGAGACAGAAAACCATGTGGAATTATACAATATTGCTACTTTATGGAAGTAACAATAAAGTAGTATTGTTACTTTACATACATCCTACTCCAGTAGTACTGTATATCTAAGCCGGAAATTTCTCAGGATCACCTTGTTGACTGAGCTGGAAGCAGATGGCAAGATGTAGCCATAAGATTAAAAGTGGGGAGTTTGTTGACTTTTCCCCTGTATGAATAATTTAGTATACTGTGGATTACATGTATAGAAGGCAAAGTCAAAACATGTCTACTTTCCCAAACACATGTGATCCCAGTTTACATGAAAATTTACATCCACTAGATTCCAAATTTCAGCCTGCTTAATTGATTCCAGAGAATTCAGTGGTCACCTTTAGGAAGGTGCAGTCCTTTCTTCATTTGAGTAAATGCCATGTTTCTGAAGGGTCACATTAGACTCTGATCTAGAGATCTGTGACAAGGAGATAGTACAGTGGGGTCTCTAAATTCAGTGGTCACCTTTAGGAAGGTGCTGCCCTTTTTGCATTTGGGTAAATGCCATGTCTCTGAAGGGTCACATTAGACTCTGATCTAGAGATCTGTGACAAGGGGGTAGTGCACTGAGTCAACTTACAATTAGCTCAGTTTTAAAGTACAGTTATGGTGGGCACCCATAGAAGAAAGGAATGTCAGAATTGATGGCTCTGTCTGTCTGTCTCTGTCTGTCTGTGTTCTCAGGAAACTTTGGTCAAAATGTTGCTCTCAATGGAGATCTATAGGTACTGAGAGTATAGCTTCTTCTGTAGTGGTTTGGACACTGGGAAATGCATTTTTCATGGTTAATCTGGGAAAAGAAAAACAATCCAGCTGTTACATTCTTCCTAGTGAATTTTTCTGGTGAGATACTTCTGAAGTGTGTTAGTGACATAAAATTATTGACTGCTGTTTTTATGTTCACACACACACGTTTTATATTAAGCTGAAATGTTTAATTTTCTACACTAATATGTATAAACACATTTCAACTAAGAATAATAATATTCAAGCGATGTTATTTTAGGATCATCACTTCATTGTGATTTGATAACTGCTATAAAGAAGGTTTCTAGATTAATCATAGGGGTGCAACAGAGAAGCAAAATAATATAAAATATTTTCTCTGTATAGCCCTTTAACAGATCTTTACAACTACCAAACCATGATGCAACGCTGGCAAATAGTTTCCCTCCACACCCAATACTTTTCTTTGTTGTTATGGCAGTGGTGCTCTTTTACAACAGTTCCATGATCTCTAATGACATTGGTACTGTATTTGCTACTTTCCAACACTGGCTCGAGGCAAAAACAGATTCCTATGGAAATGCATTAATGCATTGCCAACTCTTGTCAGAGCTGAACCACAGATTTAGATAATGTTTCCTGTGGCTCCAGTGTCTCTCTCTCTAGCTGACATATATGGGGATAATTAAATGTTTAAATGTTCCATGTATATGTAAACATCTTCTAACATATATAAATATAGCATCTTTATGTGGGGAATCATTTTCTGCTATGAGCATATAAATGTTTCCCATTTACTGCCTGAAGAAAGGAGCCCAGCAGATAGTGCATCATGTGAATTTACTGGTCATGTTATGACTCTGTAAGCCACTTAGAGTGGTCACAACGACCAGATAGGCAGGATACAAATAGAATGAAGGAAGGAAGGAAGGAAGGAAGGGAGGG